CTCCACCCCCCCGCCTGCCCTGCCCCGCCCCCCGGCGCCAACAGCCGCCTGCGCACGCGCACTGGGAGCGGCCGCCGGGCTGTGCCGAGCACACCGCAGCGCCCCTAGCGGCGTCCGCCGGGGAAGCCTGCGCCTGCGCCGTGGGAGCCCGGCTGCGCCCGGGAGTGGCCTCAGCGGGGGACGGCAGAGGGGTGCAGGGCTGCGCTGCTCCTTCCTTCTCCGCAACATCCATCTGTCTCCCCTGCTCCACTGCCCCCAGTTCTCTCACTCCCACAAGTGAGCGCACAGCGGTGGGGCCCTGGCTAAGCGACCCTGGTGTCCAGGCACCGTCCTCTGCCGCGCACCAGGTGGGTCCTCACTCAGCCTCCGTGACACGAGTTCGTGGCCGAGCTCTGTGGAGCTTGGCCATGAACCCAGTTGGGAATGAGAGCAATGGCTGTTGGGGGGGGCGCCTTGAAGCGCTTTCCAGGGTGCCACGGGGCCACGCGCTGGTAGCGCCGTTAGGTGTGTAAACGGGGCACAAGATAAACCCCGTGATTTCCAATAGACATCCGTAGCTGTGGCCTTTCTGAGCTTTTTGCAACAGAAAAAAAGCTGTTACTTTTCTTTAGTCAAAAAGGAGCGAAATCTTAAGAGCTGGCATTTTTCAAGTGCTGCCTCAAATCCAGTGGTGCCCCAAGTCAAAAACAGTTGAGAACCACTGAATTAGATGTTTGATCCTGAGTGAAACTCGCTCATAAAAATAGCTAAGCTGGACAGACTTCAGATTATGCTCCTTTAGGGTCCAGAGCATCTTATGCACTCAGTGGCATAACACAGCAGCTCTGTGCCCTGGACAGCAGCAAAAAATGCTGCCCCTGGCCATGGCATGACCAGCTGCAGTTGTTGTTCCCAAAGGACAGTGAGTTCGTGCCCAGTGCGCTTGTGCCAATAAACACACAGGGGTGAAGGATCCAACTTAATTTTTACTTCTGCGCAGAAAGTGGTGCTTGGCAATCGTTCGCAAAGCAAGCACACCCCACCCCAGTGGGCATAAGCCTTATATAGCTATGTAACGGGTTAAACTTGCTGATGTGATGAAATGTGTAGCAAGCCCAGCAAGTAACCCCCCTTTTCCAACTCCACCCCCAAGTAACCCCCCTTCCAACCTTCCCCAGGACTTTGTTGATACAGCTTTTCCTTCTAACGAGGCCAGCAATTAGCAACTAAGCAACAAGCGATCTCCCCCAGCCTAAACAACCTACTCTATGCCCTTGGTTAGATAAAATACTTTTTCAAAACATACAAAGCTGTTTCTAGGAAAAAACTAGTGAAAAGTTCAGAGGTACTCATCACAGTGGCAAGTATTTTTGTGCCGCCCTCCTCCCCTGTGTTCACTGCTGGGCTCCAGGAACGTAGGCTCCCTAGTAGATAAGTATGCATGGAGCAGATCAGTGGTTCTTGAAATGCTTACTCAGATGTGCATGATCTTTTTTGTGCCTTGGTTTGATGCAGGTTGTAGGCAGCTGGAATTGAGAAAGCAGCACTACACTCTGGAATAGAATTGGTAATTTCAGTAGAAGTGCACAGGAAGGTTTTCTAGGTCTCATAAAACAGCCCTAGCTTAAGTCTGGAGATCATGTTTAATCCTGTCTCAATCCGCTTTGGTTTTCTGCCAGTGGCACTTGAATCTGTGTTTCTCTTTCTTCATCCAACATACGGTATCAGACATTTAAGGAGATTTGTGTGGGTGATGGGGGAAAAAGGGAGATCCAAGGGCCCAACATAACAATGGCTGAGTTCAATGTTCAGTAATAGTGATGCAGTAGGTCTTTCTTCAGATTTCTGTCCTGTGGATGGAGGCTGCTTATCAGAAGGCCCTGCAAATATGAATCTTATTGGTCAAATCAGACTCAGTGATCTTTTCTGTTCTTGTGAGAATGGAAAGATTCTGACCACTGACTTAACACAGTCTACTGGAGACCTTGTAACATCTTTGATCTTGACATTGAGACTGAAGAGGAGGTCCGGGGCACCACATAGCTTGGATCACAGACCAGCTGTGAAATTTCCAAAGAGACATGTGAGGAAATGCATTTGGGAGCTTTTGCATATGCAGTTTTGTTGATATGCCAGTTGAAATCTCCCAGGATAACAAGTCTGGAATATTTCACCACTGTCAACTACAAGGTATTGGCAAGCTCCTTTATAAATCCCTATGTTGGTGGCAGTCTGTAAACGAGCATAAAATTTGTGATCGGTTTGGTTCTGGTTTAAATTTCCAGATGAAAGAAATTCAAGTTGCCTTACCTGAGGCAAGATCTCTTGGATTTTCATGTTTGATGCGAAGATGAATGCAGTGCAGCCTGTCTTCTTGTCTTGTTTGGGCCTATGATGTGCCAAGTATCCTAGGAGAACAGTGTAACACAGGTCTCACTGTCATCTAGCCAGATCTTAGTGATGCAGGCTATCCTCGAGTGTTTCATCGCTGATGAGGATGTGTGTTGCTGAGGGTAAGATCTGGTGTTCATTAGCATCAACTTTATTTCCTGTTGCTTTGTGCTTTCCATCTGGTGATGGATAATGGAGCTTGGTGCTAGGTGTCTACTTTTCTATCTCCTCAGACAGTTCCTTCAAATTTGAACCATGATAGGTAATGTGGTAGATGATGCCATGGGATGATCTGAGTGGAGGAGCAGTTACCACATACTATGGGAAAGGCGAATCTGATGAAAATATTTAAAACTGTAACCTGGCTGAGGCACAGAAATGGGTAGAACTGAAGCAGCAGTGGATGTGCTGGAAGCATGGTATAATAATAGCAATAGAAATTACAATAGCAACAATAATAGTAGGTAGGGTTGAGACTGCAAAATTTATTTCAAGGAAATGAGTATCTGAAGTAACACTTACTCCTTTTGGTATTGTCACGACACACCAATTGTTCTTACATGTTTTGTCAAGATCATAGACAGGAGGAAGAGAGATAGCACTAACTTGAGTCATATCTGAGTTACAGCCATAGCACAACTTCCTGACCAGAGGTGGGAGAGCAGAGCAGAGCTGGGGCTCAGGGCTCCTTACCTGTAAGAAGGCAGAACTGTTTTCTAGCCAGGGTTGGAGAAGAAAAGGCAATGAAAAGAATGCTGTCAACTTTTGTGACGTTAGCATAACAGCATTTTATATTTTTCTTAGAACCCCAATCACAAAGTATGAGCTCTCACTTTAAGAGAAGAGTTCTAGTACTTATGGTTGCCAGCGAGGCTTGAGAACAGGAAGTATACTGAACAGGCTTCAAAAACAGCAAGCAAGCAAAAACCTCAATCTTACTTTTTTTTCAAAGTCACATTTTACTGGGGCCTAAATCCTGATTTTGGAATGCTCAAGAGTTTGCAATTTTAGTATCATTTATATTTTTGGGTGTAAGCAGGTCACGTGCCCAACTTCCTTATTGAGGTCAGTCAGCACCATGTCCAGGGAGTTCTCTCAGCCAGTTGATTTTACAGGAGATGGTCTTCTCCCCAGAGTAAAAGGAAAGCAACAAATCAAACCAGTGTGCCAACAGCAAACAAAACCAAACACAAACTTGCGGTCTTTCCTCAGATCTTGGGAAGAAAGATACAGGCTCTGTATTTTTCACTATGCACCAGCATCTCCATTTGCACTCCGCTCTCAGAACTTTAACTCTTTTTTGTAGCTCCACCTGGCTTTAATGCTCTTCAGTAGCAGCTGGCCTTCCGGGCCTTCAGCCAAACAGCTTACACGCTGCTGCCTACCTGTCACGGAGGTTCCAGCTCCTGAAGGCTGTACTTCCTTACACTGGGCCAGAACACATTTGTGCTAGGTGCTGAACAAACGTGGAACAAAGAGAGATTTGCTATGACCAGAACCATTCTTCTCAACCACATGAGCGATATGAGGATGAAAAGGTGATATACATTGTTATCATCACAAGCAAGGGAGGAAAGAAGTTAAAGAAACACCAAGGAACATACATAGAGACTGACTAGGATTTGCTTACAGGAGGGAGGAAGCTCTAAATATCCTCAAGCTAACTTTACCATAATGTTTTGGTTAGCAGTATAATCCATGCAAGTTTTTATAAGCATCATATAGATGGATCTTGAATCATTTGAGACATGTAGCGCAGCTGAAGTTTCAGTTCTATGTACTGAGTCCTGGCTGAAGCAGAACAAGAGTCATCCAGCTAACTCTTAAATGCTATGTTTCAGATAGTTTTGTGTGTGTCCTTAAGAATGCCTTCACATAACACAGCTCAGATTTCAATGTGGAGACTGTATTTTTTCTTTAATATTCATCTAATGCATTAGTTCTAACATCTTTCAAGTGGAAGAAACGATGTGACAAACATGGACAACTTGAAATAAGATAACTACTTAAGAACCCTTTGGTAGTGTTATAACTATCTGTCTCTTCTGATTTAACTTGGTGGGAGACTCAATATACTTTATGAAGAGCTGCTCCATTTCTCTTAGAATAGTTATACCTATAATAATGAATCACCTTTTTTTTTTGCTCTTGATTGGGCAACTAGTCCTTCAGCAGCTATAAATCCTAATAGAATGTAATAAAGACATATGAAAAAATTATCCCTTCTCAGGAAACCTGATTTAGAATTAG